TTATTTACTTTTTGTATTCATTTCTTTTGCTATAAATAAGATCTTTCTATTCTGTAATTTTCTCTCAGATTTGAATATTTTTAAATAATAAAAATAATCATAAATTATAAAATTAAAACTTATTCATATTACATTTTATCTTGTTTATAATCATTAATAAAATAATCTTACAACATAAAAGAGTTAATAAGATTAAGAAATATTCTAAATTAGATTTAGATAATAGAATTGGAAATCTTCTAATTAAAATATATCTCAATAATATTTGAAAGTTAATTTATTCTAAAGAAAATAATATGAAATATAAGATTTTTGAAAGATTTTGTAATATTAAAAATAAATTAAGATATAGAAAGAAAGCAAAGTTGGCATAATTAAATTCTAAGATAGAGACCAGTTCATCTAGTTCCAATTCAAAATTCATAGATATAGATTGATATGATTTTGATCTAATAAAATTCTGAAAAGAATTATATCTGTATTACAAAGAAAAAGATTATTTATAATAATTAATACTTTAATTTAGTCTGCTATATCTGACTAAAAATTTATATGAATTAAGTATAGATTTCTTTTTATTTTTTTATCAGATTATCTAGCTATATAGTACTTAAATCACTCTTTAATATACTGTAATATAATAACTCTTCTCTGATTAGTCTATTCAATCTGTTAAAAATTTATGATATTTTCTAGAATCTTTCTTTCTTTTTATTTCATCTTGATAATAGTATATATCTTTTTTCAAGTTATTATGAAAGTATCTCATAATTTATTTATCTTTCTCAGTCTTAATAATTACTGAAAATTTTTCAGAATCAAAATCATATTCAAAAGTATATTAATAAAGATATTCCATTTTATTTGGATTAGTTTTAGAAATTAGTTGACAAGATGATATAGATAAAGAATTAGATATAATATATACTTTTACAAGAAAAAAGAAATATGAGATTTATATATATTGATCATTTAATTAAGATAACTAATAATATGTATTTTATATCTGAGATAATCTATTTCAAGATATATTGCAAGTATATAATAATAATTAATTTTTAGTATGAATATATGACTTTATATTCTATTATATATTTAATAAAAAATGCATAACAATTATCAGAAAAAAATATTAATCATTATATAAAATAATAAAGTATATAATAATTCAGCTATCAGAACCAGTTTTATTAATATATTAAAAAATATGTATAATAAAATATAGTATAGATAATGAAAATCTAATCATTATATAAGAGATAATACTATTAAACTATTTTTTTATCTCTATATAAATTATGATCCATATCTAATAATAAAAATAAATTAATGATTAGAATTTTCTATAAAAAGAGAAAGTTAGATATACTCTATTATATAGAGAGCACACATAAATAACTAGATCCATATCTATAATAGTAATAATATCTTCACAAAATTATATACAGTATCTCTATCTGTGAATTGTATTGGGATATTTACTAAACATAGTCTAAAAAGCTTATCTATTTCATCTCTATTCTGAATAAGAATGTACAGGTGAAGCTTTTATTTAGCAATTTATATTCTAATAATTCTGAATTCATCTTTTTTTGGCTTGCAATCTTTATGTATCCAATATATATCATTATTCATTTGTTTTCATAACTTCACCTAATCATTTTTTTCTTTTTCTTTATCACAAAAAAGATGAGAGTATTCAGCAAATATTAATTTATAGATTTTTCTTCCATGTTTTATCATGAACATAATATCAGGATGCTTGTCAGTCTTTCTTTTTAATCTTTATTTGCTATACTTTGTCATTTTGCTCTACATAAGTAAAATATATAAATACAGATTACTTAAAAAAAAGTAATAATATCATACTTACATGCTAATGAAGGTGAAACTCTTTATTGGTAGTTTTTTAATGAAGCTTTTACTACAGGAACTATAATATTCATTACATATGTCTCTTCATTTTGAGATTTTGCGAACTTCTTCCCAAATGCTGGATTTTTCCAAACACTTTCTCTAGTTTCAATAACAGAAAATATAATCAATAATTTTTCAGTGAAGCTGGCATAAAGTGCCAAAATAAAAAATATATTATACTAACATTATATTGAGAATTCCAAATACAACCCCTACAAGATCTTCTTCTGACTCATTCCAACTTCTATGTGAGAGTTCGATAGGCACTTCCTCATACATGGTATTATTATAACTCATCACAAACTTATTACATACATCTCTGATACAAAGAGGAGTTGACCTCTCCATATGTTTTACCAGCCCCATATAATATTTATACTCATCTTCCACCTCCACAGATAAGCACCATATAATTTCTGAATCAATACTAATTACTTGACTTGCTTCTGGATCTTTCCACGAAAGGTTGGAAGGTTTAATTTTTTTGATATTTGATCAATTTTTTAGCGTATGGCGCTGTACTTTTACCAAGATTCCACTTTAGTTTCTGCAAATTCATTTCAATCTCCTCAGTAGATACCTGTTCATCCCATTTATCTAAATCAATATCTCGAAGGCTACATACCCCTTCAAACTAGTGCAGAAAAATAAGTTATAATTAGTTGATTCTAGATAAAATTATCCCTTAAAATAAAATATGTGTGCACACCCATCAGATTAAATTATGTAAAATCACCGACTATGCGTGGCCAGCACATAATCCATTCAACCATTTTTCGATATTTGGGTTCGATAGAGATTCTTTTGTTTCGTTTTATAAGTATATTTCCGACTAACATAACCGCACTTCAACCGTACTTCAACCATACTTCAACCATAATTATCATACGATATATTGTATAATTAATTATTTTACCAACCGCATTTCAACCGCACTTCAACCACACTTTAACCAGTGTAAATCCAAAATTCCAATTTATTATTTATTATCTATGGACGATCTTGGAAGAGCTTCATGATTGGTGCATTTAATCATTTTTTTAGTATTGCGACCAATCAAAACGATAGACACATAAATACGTACCTACCTGATAGACGTTCATTTACTTTTTTCACGTAAAAGTAGTATAATTAACCGAATTCGTATGCCTCGGATTTGCATATCTCTGAGTGATGAAATATGCGTAAAAAATTATTTCAGCTGAAAGGCAAAGATTAACATTAATTTCTCGAAACAACAACGAATTAGCTTAGTATTTTGCACATCTTACAAGCGTGCCTTTTTTCAACACGCATATATGATTGATATACTAACAATAGGTATTTCGGGTTTGAAAAATTTGTCATCGGAAAAAGCAATTACATGTATCATGTGGTACCACAAACTTGACACATTATATCGAGAATATATTCGATGGTATATAATACCTGAACTTGAGGTACTTTTTTCCACACTCTCATCTGTCAAATTACAAACAACGATACAAATGATATTTATATCTATATATTAAATATCCATCTCATATATCGCTCAAAAATCCCAAAAATGTAACACTCTCGCAGATATGGTTGAGAATATCAAATATGTAGCATTTCAGGTTAGGAAGAATACTAGACAAACTTACTGCTCAGTCACAGTCTCGAAGTTTGGCACTTTTTTTCATATAGCACATTGCCGAAACATTCTTTAACAAAAACTTCGAAAATATGTCTCTTAAGGATCCCCCTTATTTTCAACCTGCATGTGGGAACAATCAAACATCGTGATCAGGATATCACGACTTGATCAGGTAAAATCACTATATAACTGTGATCATAGGTACATCCTCATCAATTTTTTTCAAAATGTCTTCGTTGCTCGGTCTCTTTACGAAATTTTCTCGACGCACTCTCCAACCAAGCGTCTTTTCCCTACTAACTTTGCAAAAAGAGGCAGAAAAGTTAAGCCTTCGTATGACTCTATTCCTGAGTCGGAGAGAATCCTCGCTCGTTCAGCATCTGCTTTCGGACAAGATGATCTCGAGGCACTGAAAGTGAGCTTTCACCCAGCTAGCGAGTATGATATTATACCTGATATTAAAGGTACAAATTACATTATGTTGACAACTCTCTTAGCGAATCAAATACATATAATTTATTTGCTCATTAATTTTTTTCTGCCAACAAACTCAATAACACATTAAATATTGTCTAGTCACCATTCCCGAACAATACATTCTCCCCAACATTAATCACGATCTGCTTACTAGTCGAAACTTTAATGTTGAAAATTTCACCGAAATTTCAGATGGCCACGTTAAAACATTTGTCGATAAACTGCATGATGTTGTTAAGAATTCAGGTGTTGATGCAGGCACAAATGAATCTACGACTGACACTCTAGTAAACGATCTGTTACTTCATGTTACCGACTTTGATAATTGGCCCTTTAAAGTGAGGTGGGTAACCATGGGAAAGATCTTTTGTTATACTTTAATGCTTCTTAAAATTTGCATTATTCCAAATCCCAGACTTCAACCACCCCTCCAACTAATCACGAAATGCGAGTCGGTGACAGCAGAACCAGAATTTGTGATTAATACGAACAAAATTGTTTTGATAGGTGTAGAGGTTTGTATGTTCTTGATCTTTGAAAAGTCTAAATTATTATTTACTCAAACAACATTTTAAACAGGATAAACACCTGAAAAGTAGAAAACTCTATGAACGAAGTCTTTTTGGAGAAGCACAAATTGCTGGTGAAATTCTTGCTGGTGCAAGTGACAATGAAGCTATTGAAAGTTACTCTACGGATCAGGAAATGTTTGCTATTCGCGTCATTTCTACTTATGTTACATTTTACCGAACTACAATTTCCCCATTATATTGGGAGGAGCTTGTTCGAGATCGAGGTCTGCCAAAAGAGCAATCGGTCGTGATTAAAAGATGGCCAGGGGAAAATGGTAGAACTACTGGTCTAAATCTTGCAGAACCAGATGGAAGAAAAGCGGTGATAACTGATCTTATCAAGATTCGTCAACATCTTTTAGGTGAAAAGTGATTATAGGATTAATTTAGCAAAACTTTTATTTCAGTCTGATTTTTACAATAAAAACAAGTTTTTCGCATGATATACGCTGGAAGTAGAAAAAGCGTGATTTGTATTAAGTTTTCGATTACGAGTTTACTATCTGTGCATAAATTCAGACGCCGAGTTGAGTCGGGCGTGATGTAGTCGCGGTTAATTCTTTTCTATGTTCAGTCGCGTAGTTCCGAAAAATTTTCTTGGCATTTGTCCGAGACCGCAAATTTTAATCACGTGAATTTAACTTCTATATGAAATGTACTATTTTCTACAGTGGCGCTCAAAAGTAATGCATCACTTGAAAGATAAATTTTGCGATGCAATAACTTCTATATAACTAGACTTATTTTAGTCACCAAATATAAAAGAATTATTATATTTACTTTACTTTTTCATTTGTAACTTAAAAAATAAAAACAAACCATTTTTACATAAGTGATTCACTTTTTTTGATCATTTTGATTACAAAAATTCAAATTAAGATTTCTAACCAACTAGTAAATAAAAATTCACCAAATTTTAACTAAATATTTCTTACCACCTAGTGTATCCACCCTTTACATTGATTACATCTTGGATACACTCCTCCATACTTTTAATTAGATTTGTTAAAAATGCATTATCCATTTTGATCCAGACTTTTTGTACTGCATCCCAGAGTTAATCTTGAATATGAATTGTAATAAACAATCTTCTCAAATGCTGGTCTATTACATTCTAGAGATGCTTGATTGGGTTGAGATCAGATTGGGCAGGCCAATCAAATATATAAATATCATTGTCATCAAACTATTCATAAGTAGATTTTGCCATGTGGTTTGGATCATTGTCTTGTTGAAAGGCAATATCATTCTTGTTAATATTATATTATCTGATTATTTCTAAAAGGTTATTATTTAAAATTTTGTGGTATAATTTCTTATTCATAGAATCATAAATGTGCATGATATTATCAATGTTAAAGAATGAAAAGTAACTCTAAATCATTATATTTCTCCCTAAATTTTACCATAGATTTTATGTGGTACTCTTTTAGTAATTCATTATAATATTTCCAGTAATATTCATATCTATCTGAATTAAAAATTAAAAATTTTAATTTATCAGATCAGATGACTTTGTTTCAGTTATCAGTTGACTAATGCTGATGTTTTTTTGCAAAATTTAAATATTAGATCCAATATATTTTCTTAAGATATGATTTCTTTCACTTAATTTATGAAGAAAGATCATTATAATATAAAATTCACTTTATTATACTTATGCTAACTTTGATTTTCTCTGCAAATTTTAGTTTAATAAAAGTTATAGTAGAATAATTACTATTTGAAATTAGATATATGATATTTTATTCATTATAATCAGTAAAAATTCTAGAATAATCTGGTTTTGATAAATCTTTAAAGATATTATGAGTATTTTTTTTGTTTTATTCTTATGATAATGAATTAGAAAATATTTTCATGATTTGTAATAAATCAAGAGGGAAACTCTTCTTGAAGAAGAATATAAATTCATGATCTTTTTTCAATAGAAATATATATCATGATAATTTGAATAATATGGGATGAAAAAGTATATTCTTGAATATATTTTATATATATATTATTTTATTATATTTTTTGATGTACTTATATATTTTATTTTTTAGAGAAAAATGATCAAAAAAATATATTACTGGTTTAATATAAGTAAAAATCAAATAAATCAAGTAGTATTATATTTATTATTTAAATTATATAAGTAATTTATTTAGATTTTTAATTATATATATGCTAAATTTCATATATTCATGATATTTATATTACTAAAAATTAACTTTTTATTTTTTTTATTTTAGTAATATAATACTTTTAAGTATTATTATATATAAAGCAATATTAGATACTCAATTTTATTATAAGAAATTAAATTCTCAATTAATTATCATGATTATTAAGCTTAAAAAGAAGAATATCAAGATTAAAATCAAGAATACAAAATTAAAACAAGCTATAGAAGTAAATACTAAGCTCAAAATTAAATTTAAGAAACTAAAAAAGAAAAATAAAATAGATATTAATGATTTTATTGCTAAAAATACTGAGCTCAGAAATAAAGTTATAAAATTGAAACAAAAATAGATATAAAGTAATAATATATATATATATTAAAAAATTTTATTTTTTATAAAGTATTATCTAATATTTCTTTTAATATTTATACATACTTATCCAAGTCCAAATTATCAGAAAATAAAGAGATTAATGAGTTTCTGGATTTTAAAATAAGAAAAAATTAGTAATAAGATAAGATAATATAATAAAAAAAGAAGTTTTAAAATTAAGTTCTATTTTTAATTAGTTATAAGAAAAAAATAGATAAACTTCAATAAGATTACTTTATATTAAAAAATATTAAATTAAAACAAATTGAAATTTTCAAGACAGTTCATTTCAAAAATTTGAAAATATAAAAATATATTAATTTATTTGATATTAATAAAATATCATAATATTTAACTCAATTATATAATATAGTCATAAATATAAAAGATCAAGTTTTGAAGACTAATTAAAAAGAAATTATATATTAATCTCTTTATAATAGAGATTTTAAATTTTAAATTAATAAAATAAGTAGTAAAAATAAAAAGAAAAAGCAAGAATTTTAATTTATAATAAAAATAAAAATTAATACTATATTCTTTTTAAAAAATATAATTATAAGATTTAGACTTACAAGTTTCAAATATATTACAAGAAATTTTATGCAAAAAAAACTCAAAAAGTTATAAAAATTTAGAAGTTATTTAAAAAGATAAATCTAAATAAAATTAAATATATTAAGAATTATAGTATAAATTCTATCTTGAAACTTACTGATAATCAAATTCAAGAGATTATTAATTATATTTTAAAGAGTCAAATATCCAATTCTTCTTTACTTGAAATTATATCTGAAATATCTTTTGAAAATAATATAATTAAATTTCTAAAATAATTAAAAAGACTTTATTAGAAACTAAGATAAATATATTATCTATATTATAATTCAAGAAAAATTTATCAAAAATAGAAATAAATATGCTATTTAAATCTCAAACTAAATCAAAAATCTTACTTAAAAAACAAAATAATCTGATTTATAATTATATTATTTTTTATAATAAAATATTAGAATAATATTCTGATTTATATTATGAATTTAATAATAAAAATATTAATTATTATAGAATTACTATCAAGATAATATTCTTTATATAAGTTAAATTATAATAATAAGAAAGATATGAAAGATAAATATAAAACTAAATTATACTATATTAAATATAAATAGTATAAAATTTAAATTACTATATATTATAAACTTTACAAATTTATTATTCTTATTATTAATAAAAAATATATATATTATAGCTAATATATTATTATTATAATAATATAAAATTTTCTAATTTTATAATCTTTTTTTAATTATGCAAACTCTTATTTTTCTATAATTTATCTGATTATGCTTATTTTTATCTAATTATATATTTATTTTATTTAGTATATTTATTTTCTATAATTATATTTATATTATTATGGTAAATTGATAAGTGGAATTTTACTTTAATTCACCTTAATAATATAGGGTTGGGAGAGACTAAAATAATTAAAGATAACAAGAAAGAAATTAGACTATACTTTCAATAATAACAAAGATTTCTAAGGCCTGTACCAATATCTATGGATATTATTTTAACAAAGAGTAATAAAATAAAGAAAGAATAAAATAAATCAAAGAAATTATAAAGATTATCTGAGTAAAGCTACTAGTAATTGATATAATTCAAGATTTAAATTGATTAAATAGTAAACTATTAATTAAAGAAGGCT